AACTCAACTCTACAGGGTTTCGTCGTTGCTACTTTTACTATTGGCGCCCTCTTTGGCTCTCTCTCATGCTCCTGGTCTGGTAACGCTTTCGGACGACGCAATGTCATCTTCTTCGCCGGTATCTGCACTCTCATCGGAGAGATCCTCGAGTGTGCTTCCTTCCACCTGGCACAGCTTATCGTTGGTCGCCTCATCGTTGGTCTCGGAGTTGGTCAGCTCAGCTCTATTGTGCCCGTGTGGCAGAGTGAGACCTCCGGCGCCAAGAACCGTGGTCGCCAGGTCGTCCTGACTGGTCTCTTCACCTGCGTCGGTTACGTCTTGGAGAGCTGGATTAACCTTGGTTTCTGGGAGTTCAAGACTGGCCCCGTCACATGGCGTCCCCCTATCGCGATTGCCATTCTCTTCTCCTTGATGCTGATGGGTAGCATCTACTTCCTTCCCGAGTCGCCCAGATGGCTCGTCATGAAGGCTCGCTCTGCCGAGGCCCGTTCCATCATCGCTGCTTTCCGTGGCCTGCCTGAGGACTCCCTTGAAGTCCAGGCCGAGGTTGCTGGTATCGAGCACTCTCTCGAGGAGACTACGCAGAACGCCGCCAAGCTCTCCGACATGCTCAAGATGGGCGATGACAAGCTCGCCTACCGATTCGGACTCTGCATCCTGCTCCAGTTCTACCAGCAGATGTCGGGAAGCAACCTCGTTTCCGTCTACGCTCCCATCCTGTTCCAGCAGAACTTGGGCATGGAGCCCGAGCAGTCCAAGGCCCTCGCTGGTGGTGCTCTGACCTGGAAGTTCCTCTCGTCATTCCTGGCCTTCTTCGCCATTGATCGGTTCGGTCGCCGTGCCGTCTTCATCTTCAGCGGTTTTGGAATGGCTGCCTGCATGACCTGCTTGGCTATTACCACATCCTTCCCCAAGGACAACACTGCTGCCCAGATCGCCGCTGGTTGCTTCATCTACCTGTTCAACACCTTCGTGCCTATCGGCTTCTTGGGTGCCAACTTCCTGTACTGCACCGAGATTGCGCCCATCCGTCTCCGCATGGCCATGTCTTCCATCTCTACTGCCAACCACTGGCTCTGGTAAGTCGCAACTACGTTTCTCGTTCTCCATCATCTCTTCTTACTAACGGTTGCCCAGGAACTTCATTGTTGTCATGGTCACCCCCGTTGCCCTCAACACGATCGGCTACCAATACTACATTGTCTACGCCGTCATCTCGGCCTGCATTCCCGTCAGCGTCTACTTCCTCTTCCCCGAGACTATGGGCCGCAACTTGGAGGAGATCGAAATGCTGTTCAAGGACTCTCCTTCCGTGTTTGCCACGGTCAAGTTTGCTAAGAACCGGCCTATCGCTATGCCCCAGGAGTTCGAAAGCGACAAGCCATCACAGAAGGCCGACTATGTTGAGAAGCAGACGGATGACTCTGCGTAATGTGGAATCTAAGAATATTACGGCCGGGAATTTGCAGGATGGACACTACAGGAACAGTTCAGCATTAGCAAGCGGAAGTCTTTTTTAGCGAAATGAATCAATCGTGATGATCTTGGTATCTGCGAATACCACACCCAACTACTGTTACTCTTTCCCTGATTATACGTGAATATGCCTCAGCCTCAAAGGCGATCTTGATAATTCGTTGAACTACCCACTACAGAATCAAATGAGGAATCATCGAGAGTGCCGACAGAATGACGAAGCCAGTCGGCAGTGGTGCAAGAGTGGCGCTCGGGTTCCCTTGAACGTTGTTGTGTTGGTTGTTATTCCCGGGCCCACTCAAAGATTGCCCTTCCTCTCCAGCTTACCTTCCCTGGGACTTGAAAGCAAGGCAGATGCAGCTCACCTAGATAGACACTGACATCACCCCATCGCGTGTCGCTCAGGTGACTCCTACCCAGTACGAAGTCTTTAAGCCGGGAAAGATACTATCACTGGCGTTCGCTGTGACTGTATTGTTGATGAGGGGGTGGGCCGGTGAGAGACAGTGCTGAGCGCTCATGATGCGTATGTGAGAATGGCGAATAAACCCCGAACGAAGGCCAGCCTTGATCGAATGCTTTTCGAAATCAAAAGAGGGGCGGATGGAAAAACTCAATTGAGTTTCCGTAAACCTCGTCGCGTCAAGCAAGACCAACCACATCAGCGTGTTCATGTGGGAGAGTCAATAGTGCTTATCTATGCATATTGGATGCCCTTGATCTTGTGAGATTGCAGAGAGGTCAGACGCGTACCTGTCCGGGCCGCATCTGATAGTGGTCACCAACATTTCCCTGGTCTTACTTGCAGGTACACTAAGCCCCAATCTGGCAGGAAACACAGGCTCGGACGTAACATCAACAGGGCTGATATGCTGGGGTAAGACCGCTGTGCCTGCTGGAGTGCTATCCTCCAGTTGGCCATGGGACGATCGAGGCCTCTGCCGCCTGTTGGCCGCAGAATATTAATCACCGCGACATCATTTAAGCTTGCAACGGACGACCTGTCAGCGACGCAATGCAACAGCAATGCAGCATCTCGTATTCGTCTATGTCTTGGCAGCCTCTGCACCGTTGGGGTGCGATAAGTTTCAGGGCTTATTATATCGAGCCTCCGCGCTCTCCGGGTAGAGGGTAATTCGGGTCTTTGCAGGTAGACTTCACTTTTCAGACATTTGCTTGATTAAATCCAGCGATAAGATGCTTGGCTCAATTCTCAAGACTGTGCTATCGGCTGCGGCTGTCGTATCAGCGTGCACCCCTCCGACGGAACCTCTCTCGAACAACATCACCGAGGGTTTCGGAATCCAGGTTCAGAACGCTTCAGTGCCCATCATTCACAATCGCTACATCAACTTGTGGTCAGCAGGCGGTGGTGACCAGCATCTCTATTTGAGCCCAGCTGGAGACTCTGCTTTCAACTTGACCCTAGTCAACGGCGTGCTGTCGAGGGGCATCATCCATGCCGTCATTAACGGAGAAGTAAGTTGATCGTTCGCAGTTTGGCGTTGGCGTTTTATTGACACTTCGTAGTACACCGCAGACGACAACACGACCAAGATGTTCATGACGGAACGTGGAGATCCCAAGGCCTTCTTCCAGCCGGTGTATGGATGCAACCCAGACACGGATGCTGTGCAGGTCGAGTTGGACTTTGTTTCCAGAGCCGCCGTGCCAGGTGGTTTTATCTGCTTCAGAAGTGCTTCCGGCGAGAGGCACGAGGCCAGATACTCTCCTCCCGGTAACACTGGTGAGTTTCTGGCTTCCTATCCTTCGATCTATGATTCTCCTCATACCAAGCCTTTTTTTTTCTGATCTCGAAGCTAACTGAATATCTTAACCCAGTCGTCAGAGCAGACCGTCCTTGCTACGAGGTTACCTTGGCTGTGGTTCCTGCCCCGACAGCTTGAGAGGAACTGAACGTGATTGTGTCCACGTTAGGAAGAGAACCATGTAGTTCGTATAAGAAGGTAGCACATCTTAGTCGATGACTGTTCAAGTAATTTCAGAAATTCTCAAATCGCGACGACTTGATATTCAAGTCTGTGATGTCTCCGAATAGAGAATTGCTCCTCCATGATTCAATGACTCCAGCTCAAAGTTGTTAACCAGAAGTGCGCAACGTATCCCATCGGGTGCTTGATAGCGTCAGCATATCTCTACTTGGAATAATAGCAAATTTGGAATTATTCCTTTTAATCCATACTGTTGCCATTCTAATCCTTTTCGATACGCCTAATTGAAAAATTCGAAAAGAGATCAGCGTTAGGGAAAACAGAAGGTCAATGTACTGACGCTATCCAGCATGTTGAAATAAGTCCGCAAATCAATCCTTATGAATTATGACGGCAGGTACTAGAAACTTCTGATTGATATTCTTGAGTGTCAATCCAACTTTGGGTTAAGTACTAATTCATATGGCTTAGTGGTAACTGGCTGGCACCTATTATGAAGCTTGATGCACTGTTTACTCACGTGAAACATGCACGCTGAAAGCGCTGCGGAATCCTTGCCGAGGTCCAACTCGCTTGTTTGGTAGCGACCTTTGGACTTCTAGGTAGCAACTCATCGCCAATTTTGCGTTCAATACACAACAGCAACGCCTGTGCATTGACTACTCTACAAAAGGAGTTTTGTTTCATCATGAGTCGAAATCAGATTGACGGAAACTTACCGGAGACGGTCGCTGAACTAGAGGCCCTCCCTTGGTGTCGCGCACTCCTCAAAAACCCGTCAGTCGTCACTTTCATTCCGCCATCCCGGGTACCAGAAAACGCCAACCCACACGACAGGTTCTTCGGTAAAACACTCAATAACTTGACCGGTATACCAGCTTGCATCAGCTTTCATACCGAGGCCCCGGGTCGATCTGTCATCACCGAACTCTCGTCCCTATTCGCGCTTTCAAGAGGGGTTGATGGCTATCCCAACATCGCGCACGGTGGCATGACTGCAGTTTTGATCGACGAGGTCCTTGGCGTCTTGATTCAGAGGAACATGGACACGGAGAGGGACGACCCGATCTTCAAGATGAACACAGTCACTTCTTCGATGAACATCAAATACCTCAAACCCATCAAAACGCCTAGTGTTGTGCTAGGAACCGGGCAAATCAAGGAAATCCGTGGAAAAAAGATCCTACTCAAAGCTGTTCTCAAAGACGCGGATGGTATGGAGCTAGTGATCTGCGACTCAATATGGATTGGGATTCCCAGAGTCAAGATGTAATACTCTATCGAAAAGAATTGGAGACTCGGAGGGACATCTAAATACACTTGCGACATTGAGGGTTCGGTCTACACAACGTCAGGCCACATTCATTTCTTGGAAGTTATTGGAACCTTGACAGGGCTTTATATCTGCAGACATGATAGTCCACATGACTGTGAGACAATTTTAGCTTCTTTCAAAGAGAGACACATGTTGAGCTTCTAGCTTTTGAACCTCCATGAATATGCACAAATTCATTTGAGTTTCGAACTTGCAGATCCCCGTTCCCTGACATCGCACCGCGACTCTTTGCAAGTTCAAGCCTTCCAAGCAGTTTCCAGGATTTCCTTCACAGTCCAAGCCTTAATGTCAGGGAAGATCTGGTTAAGTGTTCTCTTTCCAGCCGGGGGGATATCGAAGCTTCCATTTTCAAACCAGAGACCGAATACCGAGGCCATGCCCTGGTATGCTTCTTTGGGAAAGAATTGATATGCGGGCACTTGGCTGGGAAGTTCTGTCGTCTGGCCAGTCTTGAGTTTCTCAACGCTGTCATACGCAACGTTGAATTTGGTGCCTTTTTGTATCGTCAGTTAGCCTGGGACCGTGCCTCCTTGAGTTGTGCATCCAATATGAAAGTACCTTTGGCAGCTTCCGCAAGCTGAACAAACTGGTTGAAAGTAACCTTGTCGCCAACGATGAAAGTGTCAGGCTCCCACTTGTCCAAGTCCAGTGCAGCCGCTACAAACTTCCCCACATCTTTGGTGTGAGTGAAGGCTGAAGGCGTGTTTCCCGAGCCCGGGATAGCTGCGGCATTGCCTGGAATATCGATAAAGAGTGTAAAAGGGCTCATATACGAGGGAACAATGGGTGTCGCCCAGTAGTCAAGGAAGAAGCCGTTGTGGACGACGGTGTACTCGAGATCCTTGGTCTCTTTCAAGAGAGCGGCGGCGCGAAGTTTGTTGGGCACAGAACCCAGTTGGCTGCCTTGACTTCATTGATAGTTAGTATCAGGGTGCAATTCTGAAACTCTGGATATCATCCGCGTTCGATCTAAACTAACCTCTCGTTGTGAGGGACGCCCCATCCGCTAGAAATCATTCTCTTGGTCGATGCTGATACGTCGGCGGCGCGAATTAGCTCAAACTCAAGGGGAGTCTCTCCTGGTGGCGGCATCATGTTGATAGCTGAAATGACCGTATGGATATTGTGCTCCTCCAAAATCTTGGTAGTGGCTCCTACATCGGCGTAGTCAACTACGACGATCGAAGCTCCGAGTTTCTTTTCCAACTCGGGGTTTGCCTAAAGAAATAAATTAGTACCAATTCTAGTAGAATGACGATTCCTTAGCATTGTGCCCTACCTTTCTTGCGAGAATTTTGACCTCATGCTTGCCAGTGGCCACGATTGCCTCGACCAAAGTTCGGCCCACGTTTCCGGTGCCTCCGGCAACTGCAATGACTGCCATTTTGCGTGTGGTGCTTTCGGAATGCAAGACTAGATGAAAGTTTTCACAGTAATCATGCGAGTGAGTAAAGGTAGAGTTGCTGTCTAATTATTAGCTCTACGATAATAACCATGGCCGTGGTGGCACTGGCTCTTATAGAGGTCCATCATTTATTCTACGAGCACACAATTGCAGTCCCATCAATACCCCGCTAGTAGTTAGCGGAGTTTGTAGTGGTGTACCCCTATCCATATCCCCTCATTATCCTGGCGGCGGAAGCAAACAAGGTTTTCGGACTTTGTATTCGTAAAGGCGGATTCAATCGACACAGCTGTTAACTTATCGTGGACGTGGTGGAATTAAATATTCGTACTTCGTACCCCGTACTGAATCCCATCCAGATATCCCGGTAACAATTTGCTTCCGTGGAGCCATTGAAGGATCCATAAGTCTAGTGTGCAGACTCCAGAGTGCCCAAAGCGGTTGTGTCCCCATACGGCATAGATTACTTGCGGAAAGTTCCCTTTGCGGCGGTTTAACTGAGTCGGACCTGAGCAGCCTCCTTACCTAACCCTTTAGCACGGATGCATTTTACTTCCGGAAATTACGTGACCGGGCCAATCATGAAACTACTTCCTCTTCCTCTCTCATCTACTGTGAAAGTTTTCCTGCATTTTGTCCGATTCGATCCTGGAGCCTTAGTCGGATTCTCAATCTACTTCTCTTTTGCGGACTGCCGGCTGCTATTCGGAGCCGAGGTGTCGTTAGCATATCGTAACGCGCCGCCTGGCCGAGTGGGTCGCTCAGTCCGGACTCATTCCCGAAACAGCCGTCCGATTCTCAACTGAACCGTCCGGGGTGTTGGCGGTCCGGTATCCCCACACCCCCGCGCACCGGCGTGGCACACCAACATACATGCTTTGCCATGGACGCTATGGATACTGAGTCCGTCCAGAGCGGACGGACCCAAGACAAAGCTTCTCGCATTGCGAAGGTTTGTGAGACCCTGAGAAGTAAGGACGTTCAACGACAGACACTTACACGTGGAAACAAAGGCCTGTCTCCGATGCCAATCGAAGAAGATCAAATGCGATGGAAAGACTCCATCATGTACACCTTGCGTCAATCGCAGTCAGGAGTGCGTGTACCAGCAAGTACAGAGGCGCCGTGGACCTGGTCGAAGGTACGATCATCTCGTAGCCTGCACACTTACATGACTCTTGCCTTTCTCAATTGAATATTGAAATTGACTTGAATATTAAAGCAAAATGTACATCCAAGCTTTAGAGGAACGACTATCCAAAATGGAAGCCGTGCTCAATCAAGCTGGGCTTCCAAGACCAGGAGCACCGCCGACAAGAATATCGCCGTCAGAAACTGATGCCGCCTCCGTCTCCGTGTTTGCAGGCCCGGCCATACCAAACAGCACAGTCCCGATAACGAACCACCGACTTGATGCGCCGCAAGCTGCAGCCAGTCATGTTCCGTCAGATCACCCCATGGGTGATGAAGCGGTATTGTCGGCGCCTAATTCAAGAAGCAGTCAGACACCCGTCCCTCAGCCTCGAGAGATCCCCGAACCGCCGACACAACTTTCGGGGAAGATGCCAGTTTTTGCCGTAATTGCAAGCCGTATGAGAGAGGTCAATTCCGCCTCTTACTGCTCTACATTCAACAGACAAGTCTTCACTCCTCGACTCGAAAGGGAGGAAGCCATCACTATTTTGATGCCTCTCTACGACGACGTCATCAGCAATTACCCGCTTTTGAACTTTCATTACTTCGTGCGTCATTTCGAAACATTACCGGAAGCGGATGACACTTTCAATAGTACGTCGGGATGGGCATACATGAACGCCGTCATCTCTGTAGGGACGCGGTGGAAAACCATCAACAGCGCGTTCCAAGAAGTTTGTCAACTTGCCTGGCCTTTCTTCAAAAATGCATTTTCTGTCCTGACAGAGCTGATGGTGAAGGGTGGCGACTTGCTCTCTGTACAGGCCATTGTCGCCATGGCGGTTTTCATGCAAGGAACTACATGTACCAGAACTGCGACTCTGCTATCTTCTGCGGCAGTGAGACTGTCTCAAAACATCGGACTACATCGGCAGCCTTGTACAATGATGTCCATGTGTGCTCAGGATGTTGAAGCACGGAGTCGGGTGTTCTGGGCGGCCTACATACTGGATAAAGAAACGGGTCTCAACCATGGCCTGGATTCGATACAAGACGATGACGACATTGAGACTGAACTGCCCAGCGGTTGGGGAGAAGGTGTTGACATATTGAACCTCAGAGCGAAGCTTGCGATGGTAGAGTCTTCAATCCGAAGACGATTGTACACGGCGAAAGGACTCCGCCTTACCGACGCCGATCTGGTTAAGGCCATCATTGATTTAGATGCTCTCCTTGAAGAGTGGAGATCAAGTATGCCCGCAAACCTCCAGCCATCATATGAAGCCCCTGCATTGGGGTCAGACATTGCACCAGATATCCTCAACCTGCAGTTGGCATTCTATAGGTGCACAATGATGGTCCACTGGGCGGCTAGACGGCATGACCAATACTCGACTGTAGCTGTCCTCATGGGAACGCCCGCTGGTTTCGAAATGCCCTACATTCAGCTGTCCTTTTCGCAGAAGCGATGCCGCATGGCGGCGCACGCGACCTTGGGATTATTTAGGACCATTTCAACGCCGCAATATGCAGACCTATGGTAAGTCTCCGCGCACGAAGCTGTCACCCTTGGTCTGAGACACTCGACTCACATTTGCAGGCGAATCTTGTGTTACCCCCTTTGCGCAAGCATTACTCTTTTGACGGATGTGCTCGAGACTCCAGGCTCTGCTCGTGCTCGAGGGGACTTAGCAGCAACAAGGAATTTCGCCCATTTCCTTCAAAAGTTCGAAAAATCTGAAGGTTGCGACTTGAAGCGTGTCCTGACGGCGTGCGCCATGATGCAACGGACAGCGCAATATGCCGTCGATGATGCCCAGAATATAATGCGCGCCCAGAATTTGGTCGGCAACAACGGCGGTGGTGTGCCACTCATCCCGGGTTTTAGTCTCGGTGAAGATGCACAGGTGAGACATGATCTGAAGTGCGAGCTTTGAAGCCACGACCACAGACTAACGTTTCTTTTCTTTTGATACTCAGGTTTTGCAATCTTTGCTCGGCACGGCAACACATCCGATGTATCTCGTCCAAGGACTGATGGGAAACTTGCCCAACCGAGACCAGAATCTCACAATGAGGCTTGCGCAACTTCTTGGTACTCCCTTTGAGAGTGGCAAGCCTGGTAGCCCACTCGGATCTCAACCTTTACAACCGGAGACGTACGGTTTTGGGTTCGGTCAAGGCCAGGCTGGTAATGACCCGACGGCCAACTGGTCTTGAGATTGGTAGATTTCGCCCAGCAGACAGAGGCAGACCCATGCTGCACGAGTTTACCACATTGAACAATGGGAATTATCCGGAGCTATACGTGCTCGCTTCGGAAAATGAAAGGTGCCTAAGAGATGCCGAGACACTGTCGCACAACCATCAGGATTTGAGCTGAGCTAGTCTACCGGCGTTCCATCAGGTAAGGGTCCGGAATCTTAGATGGGAATTGAGGCCAAGATGTGGCTGTTATTTTATATACGTCCTGCGCCGCAGACTTTCTTAAGTGTGTGCCCGGGTAACGAGCCTGATGTTGAACCTCAGTTGACTTCTAATCAGTACATATTCGCATTTTGCCCTCGAGTTGCGCTTCTTGCGAAACTTGCGACGTAAAGCTCTCAGTAGCTTTCTATTAGACAATGCATTTTATGATCATGTATCACTGCATAATTTGCAACAATCATTAAGATAGCATGAAAAACAAGTTGACCAAGCCGTCTTAATCTCTTAGATAACCCAAAAGCCAAGTGTCTCTGCCAAGTTGCGGGCTGCCGTCAGCCGCCACAGCATCCCAAGGTCGGGGTGTAAGGGCCTCTTCCGGTCACTGTGCGGCGTGCCTTATCGTCGACGGCCCATCATTTCTTCAATATCATACAAAAATTCTTTCCAAGGCGAGCCAGAGCCCCTTGGCACACGATTTTCTCCTATGAGGAGGCGGATCGGCCACACAATTTCGGCTTCTTGCCGCCTCGGCTTGACTTGTTTTAAGCCTAATCGCAGGGCAAACGCCACATCACCTCAGCTTCCTAGGGAGCAAGCAATTCAGCAAGGAGTATCTGTGAATGAGATAAATTTCACTTTGCCTGATGTCTTGCATGCGTACTATATCAATATCATATCAGACTGATCGCAACCCGGGTTGACTGGTTCGATAAAGAGGCCCCTCTTCTTCATTTCTCCCCATCAAGCGTTTAGTCCAGTTGCGTTCTTATTAGCTTGGACTCTTTACACACTCTCTTTACACTTGCCTGAACTTTCGATCATTCCTAACATTCTTTACTCAGCAAGTATCCCGAAATGTCGGTCCTCACGGATGTAGCATCTGGCATCATGGCGTGGACGAGGACGCCGCGCAACCAGACCTACAGAAAGCTCAACGCCGAGATTGATGCTGAAGCATTACGATCCCCCAGGTCATGTGATAAGCAAAGCTCCTCACATAGACTCCATAGGACGTCCCCTAAGGCTTTGATAAAGCTTATTGTTCCTGTCATCCTTTTCTCTGGACTACTATTTGCCGTTGTTAGTATCCCTCTGCCTCGCCAGGTGACAGCGCAAGCCCTGACACATACAGAGTCACACAGATATCACACAATACATACCCGATTCGACCAGAGACGCACTATCATCGTTGCCGCCTGTGGAGAAAGGTGGTCAGCGACGTCTCAGAATCATCGTGCCGGCCGATGGTCCATCTCCAGGATTGTGCAAGATGCTCATGTCGGGTGTTGCATCCGGCTATCCCAGCTCGGTCATTGTGAACTGGGGCCGCGACTTTCAAAAGTCTCCTGGATGGTTCGGAGGCTCTCATCTTGGCAAGATCGATGGCACCCTCGAGTTTCTTGATTCAATCACTTCTGAAGAAGCCCCAGACGATGAACGCCTTGGACCAGATGACCTCATTCTCCTCGTCGACGCCTACGATGTCTGGTTTCAGCTGCCGCCATCCGTCCTCATTCGACGATATATGGCGCAGAATTACGCTGCAGACGAACGCATTCGAAAGGAGTGGATAGGATGCCCTTCTCGGTTCTCGTCAAACTCAGGAAACAATCTCATACCGCGGCAGACTATCATTATCTCGACCCAGAAGAAATGCTGGCCCGATGCTAGTCTTGGCTCTGACCCCCACTGCGACGATCTTCCCGAGTCTAGTGCACGGGAGGACATGTACGGGCCCCATACGGACGAAGATCCTAAGCAAATGCACGACCTCCGCCCACGGTATGTCAACAGCGGCAGTCTTATGGGCCCCGTCGGAGATATGAAGCGTATGTTCCGTCGTGCCCAAGAGAAAGTCGATGAAAAACAGTCTGCCGGTGCAGGTATATTCAGCGACCAAGGTATTTTTGCGGAGATCTTCGGCGAGCAAGAGATTTGGCGGACTTCTAAGCGACAAAACCACGATGAATGGGTGAAACTCCAAGCTGATCAGCTTGAAAAGTCTGCTCAGGAACTTCAGCAAAATGACTTCAGTGTCGGTCTAGACTATATCCAAGACCTTTTCACCCCTACCGTTTTCGAAGAAGATGATGGGCTATACATTGCGTCGTCAGATGGTCCTGGACTCCGACAAGCCGCGGCCGATAGAGGCATTGATCCACCAAGGGTAGCTGGCATCCCAGGAGACATGCTTGGTTTACGCAGTCCTATCCAAGAGACTGCCATTGACAAGAATATGGGATGGCAAGATCTTCCGCTTTACACCGATTTCTGGAGTACTTCAGTGCCAGTTGTGGTACACCATAATGCCCATCGTAATGGCTTAAAAGGCCAGAGACTGCGCGATTGGTGGAAGAACAGCTGGTTCTTTCCTTATCTCCGAAGTTTATTAAAGCTGCACTCAAAACCACGAGAGGCCCTGGAGCCGCTGCTCAGAGTTCCGGGTCGCAATGGAGTGGAAGACTTGGTTTACACAACACCGGCATCAGATGCTCGGAAGAGGAAGCCCCGCATCTTCAAGAAACAGGATCTCAAAGAACAAGGGTTGGCAGAAGCAGACTGGGACAGTCTGTGTAAGTCTGAGGGTCATGACGAGTGGTGGAACGACGTTTTGCAGGACGGTGACGGACCTCTCTAGGTCAAAGGGCCGATGTGCTGTACGATATTACTTTCATTCCAATTACATTTTCCGATACAATTTCTTCAACGAATGTACAAAGTTCCGAATCATTACACCTTGCTTTAGCATTCAATTGAGTTCGTGCTGTTCTCAGCAATGAATTGATCTGAGGGGGAAGACACATGGACAAGCAGGGATACTCAATCATCTTGATTGCTATTCTCTTACCTCTTCATCTCGTCACAGATATTTCGCCACACTCTCACTCCAATGATCGATGATACCATGTTGACTGACAAGCTGTGGACAACGAGATACACATGACGCCCTGACAGATTCATGTTCTATATGAATTGAGCTGGACTCGGGGAGAGGTCCAGCTTACAAAAATGATATCACGTTTTTTTTTTTTTTTTGCTTCACAGTCTTCAACTTACTTCATTGGCTCCAGTTTGTAATTTCAAATCAATCTCCACGGCATCAGGAGCGTTCCACTCCCATGCACGACTGACACGAGGAAGAAATACGTCTTGGCAGCATGTGTATGGCTTTAGGCTAGACCCAAAACACAGCCTGCATCCTCGGGCCCGAGGCCACGAGCCATGGCAGACCGTTAGAGGCCGCGTCAGCTCTCCCCATCAACAAAGAAATGGATCGATAAAGTATAGAGCTAGGTCTGTCACTCTGACTTTGATTCTCATACCAGCGGCTAGCCTCTTTCAAGTCTGACAAGGCTACCTCCATCCACTGTCAGAAACTGTGTCTCGTCGAACCCCTTTCATATAGCATTTAAAAACAATGTTCTTACCCAAAACACTGCTTGTACGTCTCTGTACTTCCTTGAGTACGTCAGGGTCCACTTTGTTAGACAATGCCTAGTCACGAGGCCTCATGGCCACGGACCACAGACCCTCAAAAGCATCTCCAACCAGGGTTTTTGAAGTGCGGAGAGCCATATCCCAGGAATTCTGAATCCTCATTGATATCCAAGCCGGTTCAATCCACTAAATCATAGTTCCTGTATGGCTGTGGAACTGAAGACGGATTCGGCGATCGGCAGGGAGGGAACACGAGCTCTGGGTGCTATTTTGAGACGGCCAGGCAGCAGCATTTAGAGCGCTACATTTCCCCGAAGGATTCGACTGCCAAAACGGGGAACGGGCTCATAGTAACGAATGAGGCAACTTTTTTGGCACAGGTCTATTTTGCTGGCCAACAGTGTCTCTGCCACGATGTAATTGGTTCCTATTGATAATGACGGACAACATGGCTGGTAGAGCCTTAACAATGACTTACAGCGATGCATTCGGCGATATGCAACTGACGTCTGGTAGACTACAGATGGCAGGTTCCGTGTTTCATCAAAGGAACTATCCCACAGCTGCCGTGATTATTGGTCAACGGGGTTGCTATCCGTTGGTTGGGTTCCATGTTATTCGAGTGTGTGTTCCATGTCTATATGAATGCCTTTTCCCGGGCCCTTGACTATAACTCCTCATCAGTTATCTCATCCAATCTCAACCGAATACAATACTCGTTTTAGTTGCAATTCCAGGCATGAGCAAGAGTGAATTTGGTAAGATATATCATCTCTAGGCAGTTTCCACGACTTAGGCTAATTGGGACCATTAGAAACGATGTCGAACGCTCCCGAAGATTTCAGTATCCGATCTCCAGTTCCTCAATACCAACCAATGCATACCCCCGCGTCAACTGCCATCGGCAGCCATGATATCGCCGGACCTAATGTCAAATACTGTCACGTTGTCCACTGCAACCATGGCGAATCTCTTGGTGAAGGCTCCCGGGCAAACGTCGTGCCTGTTGCCCTCGTTGAGAGATGGCCTGCCTTGATCGAGTGCCCTGCTTGCAAGGGCGTCACTCCCACTACAACGGACCATACCATTGGCAAAGGAGCGCAGTACGTCGTCCCCATGCCGTGTATCTCATAATTACTCGAAACTTTTGACTGATACTTTTATTTCTGTAGCTGGATGGCCGTCATGCTGTTTTTCACCACTGGTGTTGGCGTATTCGCTCCGTATGCCATGAGGCCTTTCAAGGACGTCGTTCACAGCTGCCAGCGATGCGGACGAAAGGTAGCGACTCGGCGATTCGGCGGTGGCACTAAGGCGCACCTTATGTGAAGTGGAAATCATAAGCAGACGCAGGGACCATGATGCCATTATGTCATATCCTGCTACGACTTTTCCTTTTGTTTGGGCATACGGTGTAAATGAGACACGACTGGTTCGTTAAACACTATCTTCTACCTAAATGAATCTAAGCTTCATTCCATCCCGTTCCAAAGATGGACCCTTGTCATCGTCAAGTCTTAAGCGTCCCAATGAAAGTCCGCCTGGGGATTTATCCCATGCAGCCTTCTTATCGCGAGATGCAGGGGAGTTGACAACTGCCGCACGGCAGAAGGCAGACGAGGTTCTGAATTTGGGTCAGGATGCATTCACACGTTGCATCCTGGGATCAATGAACTGGCGGGGCAGATTCCGTTCGAACATCACTGATAAAGTAGGGTGACTTCAGATGGATGAAGAGTAGCTGATCCTGGTCGAGATTTGTTCAACTTCCTGAAATGGATTATGGGGCACGACCGTTGCAACCGCCCATGGCACCGTCCCGATTTTCTGTGAGACTGGTTGCAGAAGATGTCAAGATAAGTTCGTAATCATTAGGCATAAAAGGCCAAGGTAAGTACAGCATCTGGATACATCACTTCGTCTCGTCTCAGTGGGTAGAGGACATTGCGGCTTTCATCCTCGGCTTGAGAGATCTAACCCAACATCAATACACCGCCAAAATGCGTCGCGCAATTTTCGTCCTCCCTCTACTCTTTCTGGCCAATCCAGTATCGGCGGTGACCTGGTATTTCCTCCGTTACTACCCCGCTTCAGGTCAGAAGTTCACCTCTCTCTCGGGCGAGATGGTGATCCCGTCACTACCGCGCGCCGGCGTTTACTACCTCTGGCCAGGCTTGCAACCGACCGATAACAGCGGCGTATACCAAAACGTACTCGACGGCCGCAGCGGAACATGGTGGCTCGGCTCCGGGTGGTGCTGCTCCAACCCGAGTCTCCCTTGGGGCGGAGGCTTCAACACGTACGGCGGGGAGACGATTTCGTTCCAAAACACCCTGAAATCGGACAATTCGGCGTGGACCAGCACTGTGACGAGGCAAACTGGTGGTCAGGTTGTTACCAATGACTTCGCTTTGGGTAAGCCACCATTGGATGATGGGGGATGCCGTGTAGTAATACTGACTTGAGGTGCCTACTCTAGCCGATAAATCTTTCAATCAAGTGCTCTTTGCCATTGAATTGTGAGCTTCACCCGATGTCAAACAACGGATTGTCGACTAATGTTCTTTAGGTACGACGTCTCATGGGACTTTGGTCCACTAGCATTCGACAACGTTGTAATTGTGTGTCCAACTATATCCCAGCGTCAATCAGGGAACCCAACTGACAACCTTCAGACCTCCACAGGCAGTTCAGACTCAAGTTGGTGCACCAGCTTGCCGCAGAATTACAACTCCGCGACCAACTATACCATCACCGGCACGAGTGCAAGCGTGAGCGGCGACACAGTCACTTGCAGTATTCAGTCAGTTGTGCTCAATGCACCGGCGTGAGAGACGAGCCTAGGTATTGCGACGATAATTGGTAATATTATGTTATTCTAGGAGGGACGATCCTCTGCGCTCAACATAAGGGGATATCAAGAAAAACCAGCTCAACGCTACATATCAGCCCACAGCCCCATCCATCTCTTTCTCTCTCATATCTGTCTTAGTCATGATTAGACGTTAATCAACGAATGTATGTGAATCAAAGGATTGATCTGACGGAAGACCCGCCGCGGTTCACATCATTGCGTGCCCAACAGAAGCAGTAAACGCCCAGTGGGACAAGCAGCGATGAAGCAGCTCAGGGGGCGGGAACCTGGGAGGGGTTCCACCAAGGGTAGAAGCGTTCGCCCTCGGCCAGGGACTTGAGAGTACATGCGGAACCCTCGCAGCCGGCGCCGATCTGAGAGGTGCCCCACCAGTTGACTTCCGCGCCGAGCCACTGCACAGTGAAGAGCATGAGAATGCCCGAAAGTGCAATGCCGGCGGAGAAAGAGGCCGACAGGACAAAGTTATACTTGGACCAGAAGGCCAAGTAACGGGTTCGGACGTAGATCCAGGACAGCCAGGCGATGGGGACGGCGGGCCAGGCGTAGGAGAAGCTGTACGGAGCCCAGTTGATGCCTCCGTAGAAGAGAGCAACAGGGTGGAACTGGCGGAGGTAGCGGTTCTTGGGGTAGAACTTGATGAGGTAGTAGAACAGGACCGGCAGAATGATGCCCAAGGGGAATCCGAGCAGGAGGTAGTTGTACTGTCCCTGGTGACCGAAGACTTTGATGGGCCCAATGGTACCCCAGAGCACGGCAGCGGTGAAGAAGGTGTTGGGACCTGGGCAGAAGAAACGCATGGGCGCATCGGGAGTGCAGACGTTGGGGATGTTGATTTGGAAGTTCATCACACCGGTGCAGACGAACGTGGAGATGAGAGTGGCGACCATCTGGCAGGCAAAGGTCTGACGGGGAGGGATCTTAAGGTAGTGAGCCACCTTTAAGTCGTTGGCGAAGTGGACGGCATGGGCGCATGTCACGTAACTAATCAAACGCTATTAGAATCAGGCGTAATCAGAAGGATTGAGAGACTTTTAGGACTTACCCGAAAGACTTGAAGAAGTTCATGGCCAGAGCATTGCCCTGGACCCACATACCACCGATGAACTCAGCCAGAACATTGAGGGTAACCTCAATACCTGTCATGGCCTTGATGATTCCGATAGGAATGACGAAGATAACAGCTAAGAAGATACCGTAGGGAACAACGCCTGGCGTGGTGTAGGTAGGCCACGCCGCAACACCCGCAAAACCGAAGCCCGCAGCGACGATGAGCGTGCCAAGGTACCACCACTCGGAAACTAGAGAAATAGTCAGTGTTTGCCGCATTTAGTTGCCGTGGGAAGCACTTGCCTTCGGGGTATGCAGCCATGAGACGGTTGTGGACATCCTTGTACTCGCCAGAGTCCTCGCCCTCGGCAACGGTCTTCTTCTGGCGGCGGATGCTCGCCCACATGTTCTTGAAGCCCATCACAATCTCGTAGCGGTGGAAAATCGCAACGTGGGTGACAGCAGCAGCGTATAGGGCAAAGAACGCGCCATAGACCAAGGTGTTGGCGGCTGCGAGGTAGGCAGCTGAGTAGTTCATGTACTTCTCGTGGTCATACATGCCGCGGTCATCGAGAGCGCGCGAGACGTTGTAGAGGTTTCCGAAATGGTCAAAGACACGGTTTGAGTTGATTGGGAGGTACGCGGTGTTCCAGGCGTTCGTGTAGTAGAGACCCATAATCACGAATCCAAGCAGCCACATGCCGAGGGTACGGTTGAAAGTGGAAAAGGCAGGGACCATCTATTCAATATCAGCCAAGTCCTGAGTAAGACGTCTTGAGAGTACAAAATAGCACTTACCAAGGGATCGACACTATCGAAAAGCCTATGCCGAGGGAATCAAGTCAGCGAGAAGTTCATTTGGATAAGAGTAGTGCATGGTGAGCCGAGAAGAGTCCACTCACATGACGTTCCAGTCAAAGGTAGGCCAGGGGTTGAACATTCCCAAGCCATTGCGGAAACCTGTCAAAATCTCCAAGTTGTGGTTGTCGGGCGAGATCCAAGTCATCCAGCTGAAGAAGGTGAGGACTTCAAAGATGTAATTGGGGAACCAGAAGTACACAAACATTGCGGCAAAGGACCACAGGAAGAACTTGTATCGAGTCATCGAGTACAGTCTCTTGAATGGTCCCGGGACCGCAATGTTGTTTTCGTTGTGGAGCGCCGAGTTGAGGGCGATGGTGACGAGAGACGCCGGCCACACGCAGTACGAAGGGTACACGATGAACCGACGGGTGAGGCCTGCTCTGCTGTTAGCATAAAATATCCCTTAAAAGTACGCCGTTGCATCACTCACCAGCGAGACCGTAGCCAATGAAGTTTGTAGAGAGCGCAATCAGGATCTGGTAGGCAAAGCTCTTGGCGTATGGCTGGTTGAAGTACTGGGGCAAAACTTGAGTCCACACGATGTACTGGGTGTACGGCAGACTCTTGGCAGTGTTGGCCATAATGGCAATAAGCATGTGCTCCTTCTTATTGAATCGGCCTGGGTTGAGGGGGATCTTGTAACCGAAGACGCTGAAGATAGTGTTCGGCATGAACTTCTCCCATGCCTTACCGAGGGGGAATGCGAGAAGTTGGGCAACGTTGGATTCGATGCTGATGAGGGGCTGACGGATACTGAATAGCTGTTTCTGTCGTTAGCACTGTGGTGCGGACTGGCGGAGCGGCAACTTACCTGGTTGATGAAGGCCAGGAAGACCGAGAAGAAGACGCCAATGGTCCACGCTCGGATCGTTCCACACGGAAGGGAAGGGTCGTCCTTGTTGTCAACGACGGCTCGCACCTCGGCGTAGGGGCTGTTGTTTGTGATCAAAGCAGCCTCAAGCTTCATCTCCCAAATCAGTTGCTCGTGCTTCTCGGGTCTCTCGAAGACGTCCTGGTTGTCTGCCGCTGTGTCAGTCTCACTGGCGCCGAATGTCGCCATCGTTGCGCGTGCTTTACTCACCAAGGAACTCGTGGATTTTCATGAGAACACTGTGAGGAAAGTTCGGGTCTCGGTTATGGATTCTCAGGACAGTCTCCATCATCTGTGTCCTGTGTCAACGACTTCTTGGTGCTATTTAGGTCGTATCTAGACATACCTTGCGCACTCCCTCCAAGGAGAGGGTGGCAGCAACGGCCTTGGCCTCAATTAGATCGTCTTCTGTGACATTGAGGTGCCTTGAGAATTCGTCAGCTCTAGCTAGTTATGGGGATGATCAAGGCGTTTGTTGAGAAACTCACGATTCAAAGGCTTCTTCCTCGGAATTGAGACGGTGGAGCTCCTCGGTATGTGCGCCCTTCATAAGTTGGTCAACTTAATCCGCACTGTTTCTTGCTATTAGAACTTACAGCAGCAAGTTTCTCGTCAGTCAAGACGCCCTGGTCCCTCCCAATGTCAATGGGAGAGACCGGCGAGTCGTTCTTCTCGTCGTTCGCCATCACGCTTTGGGCGGCTGTGAAGTTGGACCTGGGTGTAGAGCAAGAGGCCACGACACAAGACCCAAACCCGGCAGCGTGGGACGCAGCGATAAATAAACATTTTCGAGGAGACTGAAGACGGCCAGGTCGCTTATCAGCGGTACCACATGGTCGGCGCCCAGATGCCAACCGGGTACCTCACACATGATGGGCTGCCACATCTGGATGATGCGAACAGGTCGGCAGGTGGCAAGGTATCCAAGATGATTTTCGGAGGCAGTCCCAGTCTAGGCCGGCTGGGCAACATCTTGGCTGTCTGGTCGAAAGGATCGACCTTCTCGGTCAGGCAGAGAACCGATGAGATGGGGTGGACAGCAGATATGCAAGAGAACGAGGATTGGTCCGTACCGCCAGACCACTGACTTCCAGTCGCGAAGACGGCGACCACAAAGTCTCGGCGCGCGGTGCCACCAGACCAGGAGGCAGGGGAAACATTTGGGTTGCCAGACGACAGCCCAACCGTTGGTTCCTCTGATGGAACAGAGGGACAGGGAAGGGTGGTCGCAGAAGAAGCAGGGTCTTGGACGATATCCTTGCACAGTACTGTCGGATACGTGGGGGAGGGTCAAAATTGGTAGGTTAACGACAAGGCTGGTGGTACGCGCTTGTTGCTTGCCACGTTCTGTGCACACGGGGAAGGTAACGGGTCTAACCATGCTCTCGTACTTTGTGACCAGAGAGTGAAAGTGTGTTCAGTGTGACTTGGGCGGAATTTGTTGTTCGATTATAGATTCTTTTCAGAGACTTGCAGCAAGCAGGAGTACCAAAGACTACATTTGGCGTGATCAGCCTCCGGCATCAACATGAGAAATCGAGGGTCTGTGACGACAGGTCGCGGTGATGTTGAGTAAGAACCTGCTATGCCGTCATCATAGCAAAGGATGAGTCCATTCTAATGGGCCCAGTCTGCCTGGCAGAGGCAGAGGAGTAGGTTGACCTAGACGCCCAGTCAGTCGCGCTATCTTTCCTGACCGCGCTCCAATTGCCCCTTATGTTGAACATTGTAAATAGGGAGGCCTTGGCAAGTCTGATGTTTCCCAGAGGAGCGTGTCAAGGTTCGAAATATGAGAGACGGGAAGGAGCCCAATGTTCAATTGGAGCAGGAATTCGGCCACAAGACGCAGAGAAGTGGTTAGCTCGAAAGGGTGCATGCTTGAAATAAGCTAAATGCATTTCTGCCCAGCCTTACAAAAGGCCGACGGGTACTTTTGTCTTTCTTGGACAATCATATAAGCCGGAACGATATCCGTAGGTTAGGAGGAGATGGAAGAGAGCACTCACAGCACAATAGAGAAAGAAGAGGGAAAAGGGACGAAAAGCAGCCCCCAAAATGGGCACTGAGCATTGTCACGTGTGGCTGTGTGGGGGAAATTAAGGTTAAATTGGCGCTAGCACGGATCACCTACGAACCGATCCGGCTCTTTTTTGTGGCGTAGTGTTCATATGTGG